CACGCCGTTTCAGTTCCCGCTTTGGGCAGAGGTTCGTCCGCAGCTGCCTTAAAAGGGGAAGCGGATAGCTAAGCCGAGCTTGCTGCTTGTGCTTCGCTTTGCTTTGCCTTCGCGCCGCTTTCTTCTTCCCGCTCTCGCTTTGCGCGCGACTTCGTCGCTCCTCCGTCGAGCGACTGAGCCGAGTCGCGGTGCGGAGTAAAATAGTAATTCGACACACGCGCGAGCCCGCGATTCTCCCCCTCCCCACTGCCCCGCACCCGCGCCCTGCTGCTCCTGCTGCCGCTGCGCCCGCCGCGCCCCCTCTCCTCTCGCGACACGCACACACACAGAGCCGCGGCGCGCACACGCACGGACGCACACGATCTGGCGCCGCTTTCGTCAAACGAACTTCCTTATAAGGCGCGGCGCTGCGCTCTTAGGTGCCCCCGCGCGGGCACTGGGGCGCGCGCGCGCGGGCGGACGGGTGGACTTGAGGCGCTGCCCGCCAACGACGGGGCTCGAACCGCGCCCTCTTTTCCGCTTTTCGGACAGAGTATTTCCCTAGCTCATTCATTTGCACGATGCGAATGAATGAGTAAACCTAACAAAGCCTGCTAGAGGATGGTTCTCTCTTCGAAGTCGCAGAGTTCGTGATGCAAAACGATAGTAACGACATGATTTTCTTTGGCAGAATGTTTTCCCGATAGAAGTTCCGGTTGTCGGTTTCTGTAGGAACTTGTTTATTTCGTAAGCAAGCCTGTTTTTCGTTTATTTGATTATGGTTTTAAAAAAACTTCAGATCAACTCGAACTTGTAATCAAGAAAGAGTTTATTCGTGTGTCATTACCATTTTATATTTTCGAGTCAAGGGTCGAAACAATGTCAAGGGCCGATCGTGTGATATTATCCAATATATCGTTTGCGCATAATTTTGTTTTGTATAAATAATAAAGGCGATATTCTAAATTGAAACATATTTCATTGTTTATTTGCAAATTGCATTGTTGGGACTCAAATTCAATCAAAATTTTCTCTGCAAATTGCTTTCAAAAAAAAGTGGCACTTGTTCATGAAACTAAATTATTGCGAAATCTATTTAAAAAATAAATACAACTGTTTTAAGAAAGGAGAAAACTTATTACTTTTGGATTGTTTCAACAAATTCTTAGAAATCACATTCATTTTCACTTCGGTTCCTTTCAAATATCCAAATAAAGGAGAAACGATAATAGATGATAAATAGTTTACTGAAATATCGCAGTAAAGTAAGCACTGAGTACTTTATTTCAATTACTATAATCGTTTGTTTTTGCTATTGGGAACAAATTTAATTCACGAAAGCGAGGAAAGAATCCCTATATGTATGTACCCTAAATGTATGTGTATAAACGCACCACGTGTAGTTGAGATCACTATTGAAATCTACGCTGTTCTATCATTCACGAAGTTATAGACGATCGTTAATTTGCAGCATAAATACTCAAAATAATAAATGTGTATTGCAAATTATTTGGTTTTATCTTTCCTCCTAATAATTAAAATTAAACACACGAAATATTCTTTACGATATATTACTTAACAATTCTTGAAAAAAACAAATATATCGCGAAATTGCAAAACAAAATTAAGTCTTATATCAACTCATATCAGAATTAACGGTCATTATTGTCTTATACTAAATCTTCGCTAATTAATTTCTCTTGGTGAACGTGAAACAAATTGCAACCAAAAGCGTAATTTACGAATTATGACGAAACAACTATAGTAATTTTGAATTGAAATGGAAGTAATTGCAATTATTACGTAGATTTGCAGTCTGATATAAATAATATTCAAAATTTTGAAAATAGAGAATTTTCACGGTAATTGATACTTTTTTTAAAATAAAAGGATAAATGCAATTTAAAATCCTCTACACCTATTTGAGGTACCGTTTTGTAGCCCAAATACAATTTCGTTGTATGCAATAAATATTTCACTAAATGCTAATGCAAATGTTGGAAGTTTCGAATTTTATATTTTCATTTCAATTTTTTATTCTTTAATGAAGAATAAATTATTGTGTGTGAGATTTTAAATATATAATTGTTGTTAATACATTTTACTTACTTTTGTTAATGCATTCATAATACAGGACAAGTTTTGCATTATTAGAATTGTGATGACTTTGAGAACTAAGGACATGAAAAATTCGGAATAATTAATGAGGGATGTTTAATTTGTTTTTGCCATATTAACATTGTCCATGCCAGTTGTAATTCATATCTTTTCCCTAAGTAAAACCTTCGTGAAAAATGTAAATTTCGGTCGTCACTGAGTATTTATGAGTAGGTAATTCTCGTATTGAAAAATTGATACAGACAATTTATTTCCATGAAAAACCTCGTCGCGATCTTGTCACAGATACACTCCTCGACGTGATAGAGAGAGAGAGAACGCTCGACTAACCGTAGACGGGTTAAAAGCACTTTTCCTTTTAGGAACTTTATTCGAAAATCATTTAATTCATACATTTTGTTTTCGAAAAAGAAAATATTCCAAATTTCATTTAATTTTGAATCCGTTTCACATCGGTTAGTCTAAATTAAACCAAGTTATTGAAATAAAATCATCATAAAATCTTTGTAAAGAACTGACATTTCAAACACACGAGCTGTACTCACATTAATATAACGGGCACGAACTTCGTTCGTTAAACTACATAAATTTGTGCAGCTTAAATGTTCGTCTTAATCCCTTAGCGCCCGAGTGAATTGTGCTTTGCGCGCGCCCATTCTCATTGCCCTCGTGCTTTCAGGGGCTGCAGGGGCGAGGTTGGGGCTATCGTTAGTGGGTTTTCAACCTTTATTTCCGAAGTAGGTTGCTAAATTTTACTGGTAGTGGGCACCGAAGTGCCAAACTGTTTGTAGCTTGTATTTCCATCTTAAATCATTTGTTAAAACCATTTGCTGACTAGTAGACCCCTTGATTAGATTTGCTTTTTCGCTAATCCCGCTCGAAACCTGTAAATTAGTGTTTTGATATTATAAACTTGGGTGTGGAGTTTTTTCAAGAAATACGAACTCAAATATTTAGTTTGTTACTCCTTAATCCGTCTTAAATTTTGTAACAAAAATATACTTCCTCCTCACGTGTACCTATACTATGAACTCTCCACTTCACATCTAATAGAATTACTAACATAAATATTGGATAATAACTAATTAAATTGGTATTAAGGAAAGAAAATATCTTTCGTACATTTCTCTTTAAAACGTCTTAATAGAGCAGCTATTTTCGAAATATATGTACTTGTACTTCTGAAATCTTATTTTCCCTCCCCATCGTATAAATTTGGATGGAATATCTTTCCCATAATAGATGAATTGTGTGTTGTATCGTCTAGAAATTTACAATTTAAGTTTTAACATTTGCAGCTAATAAACATTTGGCTGTCACTCCAATCGTCAATAATTCATAATGACTGCAAACGTGTCTCTGAAAAAAGGAATACGTACAAGCGTACATTGTCCAGATTCACTCACATTACATCGACTTCCGGAAGAAATGGAATCAATGGCCGGCTTCGCTGGCCGAATTCGTTGACTACTCTCCGTGAAGTGATGGAGGTTATGGGACCTCGCAGGTTCCTGTTTGGGTGACTGTCTAGGAAACCAAGTATCTAACGGCGCCGAGCCCCTGACCGAAGGGATAAAAGGCACTGACAGAAACGTGACGAGACTTTACTATTAATAATGGAGAATAACTCCAAGGCAGGCGCTCAACGCCCCCAAAAAGGGTTAAGAGACGCGTTGTGTAAACTTAAAGAAAGAAAGAAAGAAAGAAAGAAAGAAAGAAAGAAAGAAAGAAAGAAAGAAAGAAAGAAAGAGAAAACACACACACACACACACACAACCGCTTTGGGCATTGATTCTCGGCGGTGAAATTACTGCTTAGGAGTCGGGGGCGACTCGAAGGATAGGGGAATGGGGTGGGGGTCATCGATTTGAGGTAAAGATACATTTTTAAGTAATTCTGTGTTTTGTGTGAGTAACGATGTTATATAGTATATCTGCAAAATATTTTTAATTTCATTGTGTTTTCTTCTTCAAAAAGGTTTGCTGTTATGAATCGGCTACGAATAGCCAGAATCCACCACCTTAGTTCCGAGGTGAGGGACAGTTGTGCTGAAATCGGTATACAAAGTTAGTAGAGAGTTGTTTGTTAGATAGTATTTTCCCCATATACATCCCAGATTTTTAAATAGTCGACAGTGGGTAAAATTACTTAAACAATGTCTCTGGAATCATAACATTTATTACAGTTTTTTAATTAGCCTTCGTAGATAACCCAAAATGAATGCTGTTTTTCCACATGTCACATTTAAATTCTAGAATTATTTTGCAAAATTTTTAAATATTCTTAAAGCCTAACTGCTCAAGTAATTAAAAAATATTATTTTTTTATTCTGTTAACTCATTAAAAATCCATCGGAGGATAATTGTTTTAACAGTGTTCCCATATTCAACACTGCACCGACCAGAGGTGCGATATTTCTTGCAGACTCACTGTCAACATAAAACGATACAAACCTTTTGCAGTGTGAAAGGACTGAAGGACTGGAGACGTCGGTTT